CCCCCCCCCCCCCCCCCCTCACACAAACCTGAGGAGGCGTCGTGTCGGAGCCCTTGAGGTCCGCCTCCAGCTTCCACTCTCCCTCGTGCGTGTTCCTCAGAGCCTGGCGAGCCGCGCCTATTTATTTGCACGCACAGCAGTTTTCAATGCACAGCGGGTTAGCGCGGTCGATGCAACCTAACGATTACGAGGAACACGGCACATTTATCACCACCGTACGCATTAACTCGTACCACCACCCCAGGCATAAAAAGTCATGGTTGTATCGCCTACCTATCGCTTGCGCCGCCGATGCAACGTTCGTGGCGCCGCCTCCCCTGCTCCCGGTCTGAGCGCCTGACGAGCCCCGGGCCGCGCTGCCGCCGCCGCCCCCGCCGCCGCCCGCCCCCGCGGCCGCCGCTGCGCCGGCCCTAACTCCGGATGCATACCCCGCGGCCTGTGCCGCCTGCGCCGCTTGGAACTCCGCCTGGATAGATTGATTTGCACGGAAAATGATCGATCTAGTGACTCCTTAAGGCTGGCACCTTTGGTCAGCCGTTTACACAGCCCGGTCAACGACAAAGAGGTAGTCAAAAAGTCACATCGCACCTGGCGCGGCCAATGCTACAGCAGTAGTAGTACTGTAGCCAAAACAAGCGTACGCACACACACAGATCGCGGCCCTTAGAACCATTTATGTCGTCAGCCGCACTGACACTGACGGCATTTTCATTGGTCAGCCGGGTATGTAGCGCGGTCGCCAACAACAAAAACACCAAAAGACACAACGCACACGTACCTGGTGGGGGATGCGTTCCCGCATGACCATCGCCTCGGCCACGAGGTTCGGCGGCAGCGTGCTGAGCAGCGCGTCGTCGGCGCTGAGCAGGACCTCGCGCCGCAGCTCCGGCGGCAGCGTCGCCACGAAGGAGGCGTTGTCCATCTCCGACGCCCGGGACGGGTCCACCGGTCCCCCCGCATTCCCCGGAGCCTCCCTCATGCGGCGGTTGCGGGCCTCCTGCGAGCGAGCGAGAAGGGTACGTACGGCAGTGGGAGTTTTTGTTGTCTTTGTCTTGACAATGAAAACCTTTCCAGTAGTGTCCGTAGTGGTTCCAACTGACGCGGACGCTTGGTAGGTCATAATCTTCACGACGGTGAGCGTAGAAGGAACACGTGCTTACTCCTACCATGCGAAGGTTGAGAGCCCGCCACCAAAAATATCAGTCAAGAAAAAACAAAAATCTGCCCGCGAGCGCGCGCTTGTGTGTGTCTTGTGTTTTCTTGAGATAGCATCGACAGCGCTAACCGGCTGACCAATGACAACACGCCAGTCTTCCACACACCCAAAGAACAAGAATGAACACACAGCAGTTGGCCATTCTCAATTGCGTGTGTGCATGAACGAACCAACACCAACAACACGGAGTGGTTGGCGGGAAAAAATAATGCTACCTTAGAAAATAAATAGTTCGAAGTACATAGCGCCCGCGGCTCACCTGTTCCAATACCTCCCGCCTCATGTCGGCGGGCAAAGCGGCGAGAGCCTCGGGGTCAAGCCCGGCAGCTTCCAGGAGCTCGGCTTGGTCCTCCTGCAAATCAAAACAAGACACCATCATGACAGGGCAAAAAAACAACAACTATAGAAGAACGTCCAAATCCGCGACATACGACCTTGTTGAGCCCCGCCAACCAAGAAAAAAAACATGACACTAAAACAGTACCGGAGCACGCCAACCATAATGACCGTAGACACGGTACAGCCTTAGACCTACATCACCACCCACACCAAGCACAACCTTAATACCTACCTACCCGAGCACACAATCTTCTCTCTCTGTCAGTGCCTGTCTGTCTGTCTCTCCCTCT